GGGGGGTTCCGGCTGCGCAGAAAGGCACCCACACTGAGCATTGGCTTTTCTTTGGGCCAGGTGAGCGTTGCGATTTTCCTGTCTTTTCGCACTCCGACAATGAAGAGTCGGTTTCTAAGTTGCGGCAGGGACCCGTGGGTGTGGCAACCCAAAACTTGCCATTGGACGTCATAAATGTCCAAGCCCATCAGAAGCATCATCACCAACAGCAAGGTCTCTCTGTGACGAGTAGCGAAATCGCCCACATTCTCAAAGACAAAAGCGATTGGCCTGTGCAGGTAAACCCACGCCACAAGCCAAAAGACCACCATCCCGCGACCTGCAGAATCTGCTATGCCTTCGTTCTTTCCTGCAGCACTAAACGGCTGGCAGGGAAAACCTGCGCAAAACAGGTCCCCGCCGGGAGACTTCAGGAAGGAATGCGAGCAAGCATCTTGAAATTCATGGTGGTGTCCATGCATTCGAGCTCCTAATGCCCGCACTTTGGAGTCCAATTCACAGCAAGCGCATGCTGTAAAGCGCTTTTGCATCATTTCCAAAGCCAAAAGTTCTGATGACCACCCGCTGCACGCGCTAACAACTGTAAGTTTGTTCTTGTGGTGCTTTTCTGTGCACCTTTGCAGATGGGGCTTCAACCATGCTAAGCTCCATACCCACCCCAAAACTTCTCTGCACAGTCGTTCCACATCTGGCGCGGACAGAGCAGTCAAGTCTTCTTTTGGCGGTAACTTGGCAGCTGCAGGCTTCTTCTTGACAGCCGCTTGCTGCTTGGCGGGCTTCTTGACTTGTCGCCACTTGCCCGCCATCGTGAATCATGAGTCTGGAAAATGAAAGATTTGATTCAGAACACGCCGGCGGCATCTCAGTTGATAAAATGGCATTTATGCTTGTGCTCGACAGATAAAATGGTATTTATGCGCCATTACGGCGCAGTCACAAACAGCTTGTAGGTTTCAAACACATGTAAAACTGCAAAACCGATTCCAAAAGCCAATGTGTTCGTGGGCTCCGCGCTGACTCCTCATCGTCCAATCCATGGAGCTGCTCGTCAGCCTTGGCAAGAGCGCGCAACATTCAGCAGTGAAGAATTTAAACATTGGCAGCGCTACATGCTATCACAGCGCTATCACAGCGCTGCATGCTACTATCACTCTGAGGCATGAGCATGACAAGAACAGGGTATGATGCACCTCGCTGCCTGGACATCAACATCTTGAGCAATGTCTTTTTGTCTCACAGAAGCGCTATCACAGCGCACTGATCATCCAAGTCTGAGGCACGATAGGCACGCAGCCAACTTCCCCTTGACCTTGGCACATCCAATCACTCATCCAATCAACATCCAAAACAATCCAATCACTCATCAAAACAATCCAATCAACATCCAATCACTCATCCACGCATCCACGCAGCGGCCAGCATTTCTTTCCGGGTCACCGCCGAGCGTCATGCCTTCCATTTTGGAGCAGGGCGCGGATCCTCAGGGGCGAGTTTGGGGCCCTTGAACTTGATCGGCTCATCGGCGGCTACCTTCTTCCTCTTCTTGCCATCTTCCTGCAGAAGAGGGGAAAGAGAAAGAAAGATAGATAAGATAGAACACATTCATTGACGAATTATGAGCCTGGGGCCCGGGGTCGTCAGCAGCTTTCTCCAGCTCCTTCCAGAAATTCCAATCCTCATCAGAGGCGTCGGCTCCAGCAGCAGCAGCCGCCTGGGACGAGCGCTATCACAGCGCCATCCAATTGGATTTGCTTCAATGTCCCAGCCTTTGCAGAGGCCTTTGGCTTCGACCCACTCGCTGCTGCCTTCGGCCCTGCAGTGGCCTTTGCTTCAAGAGGCTGGGGCAGCTTGACCTGCCGTAGGCTTCCAGCAGTGCAAAAGGCAGCACAAACGGTGACCTTCTGCGCAAACTTCTCGAGCTACAACAGCACATTTGACCGGCCTTCTTTTGCTTCGGCTGGGCCCCTGCTTTTGGCGGTGTGGCCTTCCGCTTCGGCGCGGCTTTCGCTTTTGGTGCCGCCTCCGGTGTGTTGCATTGAACAAGGGTGTTGCTTTAAGAAATCCCCCTACCAACTTTCATGCCAATTCAATTGACCCTGGCCTTGCTGGTGGACGAAGAGGAGGAACTGGAAGAGCCTTCGGTGTCCTTTTTGCGTTCCAAGGCTTCGATCTTTTTGCGCAGCTCCTCGTTCGTCTTTTGGAGCCTCAGCAGCAAGGTGCGGCCCCTCGTCCGAAGATCTTCTTTCTCGGTGCGCTCCTTGAAGAGTTGGGCCTGGAGATCAAGTTTCTCCCTCAAAAGCTTTTCCTTCTCAGATTTCTCGCTCTTGACCTCCTTTTCCCTGGTCTCGACCTTCTCTTCCGCCAACCTCAGCTTCTCCTTCAAGTTCTTGAACGACTCCTCCTGCCTGTTCAGGTACCCAGGCGTCGCGCGGTTCCCGTCGGCATCACGCTTGTAATAGCGCTTACCGTCGGCGGTCCAGGAGCTTCCCCAGTTCCATTGGTTTGGCTGCTGCCAAGCCATGCCCGCCACACTGGATGAAATCTTGAAGATGCATGGTTTTGTGAGATTCTCAGTTTCAATTTTCTTTGCTGTCAGATTGGTTTTGGTGTCTAGAGGGTGGTATGTTTTGAGGTGTGGGGATTTGAGTTTCATTGAGTTTCATTGAGTTTCATAGAGGGTGGTATGTTTGGTATGTTTGCTGTGACATTGGGATTTGAGTTTCATTGAGTTTCGTGAGAAGTCTCAGTTAAGAATTAACTGTTTATCGGTGGGTGTGAATATGTCGATGCGCTGGTTCCGGGAAGCTGGTAGAGCCGCATATTACAGGAGTGTTATTTTGTTGCTGCCTCCCATTTGAATCCTCTTAACGGCGCTATCACAGCGCCAAGTCATGCTTCTCATTGAACCCTCTTGAAGGCGCTATCCCAGCGCCAAGTCAAATTCAAACCAGAATTTAATTTACATTACACTTACCCAATAATGACCACAGAATCATGTACGCACCAAGAACTTGGTACTTATGCAGCACCCATAGGACATAAATTCTTCACACAAGCTTTGCCAATCTCAAGCGGAGCTGAGCCAACAGCATATTTGAATTGAGTACGCCCTTCGTAGCCCTGGCCTGTTAAAGGGCAAGAAATTAGGGCTGTCCAGCACCAAAAGGATTATGGTACTTATGCAGCACCCATAGGACATAAATTGGTACTTGTCCAGCACCAAAAGGAGACAAATTGACACAGCAACCATGGCCTTGGCAGCTCGATGTTGGCATCCTCGCGTAGTCAGAGAGGCTGGCTGTAGTTAATACCCCTGGAAAGTGATACACAAAAAGTTACAGGTGACACTGTGCTTGGTCACAGCAAGTCCTAGTTGGATGGAGTTAGCTGGCACTTGTCCAGCGCCAAAATGAAATGAAGTGGTACTTCTTCAGCACCACATCAGTGCCTCTTTCTCAGGTCGACTGGGCGCAGCACGGCAGTGATTGACAATTAGGATCATCATGGGGGTGATTGATGACGGGCATGATGATGATTATCATGATGACAGTAAAGAGAATGATGATGACGACTATGGTAATGACCCTACTGCGCTCTCACAGCGCACTGCGCTATCACAGCGCTTCGCCCTGACGCCTGCGTGAAAAAATGAGAAACAAAGTGCCTCCCGCCTCGTCTGGGACCTGACATCCTGACATCAGGGCCTGACAGGAACACTTCCAGACTTTCTCATGACTTACCAACGTTTCGCTTGAAAGTCTTGTTTTTCGCGCGCGTTTCCTGGGCCGCACCACTTCCGAAAGCACTTCTGAGAAGCAGCGGGAAACAGAAGTGAAGGGACCTAGGCACTAGTGGGTACTACAACTTCAAAACCACATCAACCACATCCATCAGCTTCAAAACTGCAATGAATGAAGGGACCTAGGCACTAGAACCCCCAAACCAACTGCCAACAATTTCAAACCAAAACTAGCTTCAACAAACAACATCAAAGCTACAATGCAAGTGAAAGCTGAAGACCCCCTCACTTCTTGGCTAGTAGTAATAGCGCTATCACAGCGCTAGAAAAACATGAAAACATTTAACATCTTAAAGTCTTTGTGGGCTGCCCTGCCCCCCCCCCCCTCTCATCTGTTGTGAGGATCTGGCTGACATCCGGGCTGAGTTGGCACGCCCCGTGCGTCAAAAAAAACACAGCCTGTTAACTGTTAGGCTTAGGTCTGGTTTTTGAACAACAATCATTCTCGAATGTCCACATAATAGTTGGAGCTTGTCCACTTTCTGTGAGAGACCTTGCTGAATGTGAGCCAGCCAACACCTCCGGCAATTCACGCACATGCATGGATGTACATAATGAGGTTGAATGCAGCAAAAGATCC